TGCGTGTATGCGTGTATGCGTGTATGCGTGTATGCGTGTATGCGTGTATGCGTGTATGCGTGTATGCGTGTATGCGTGTATGCGTGTATGCGTGTATGCGTGTATGCGTGTATGCGTGTATGCGTGTATGCGTGTATGCGTGTATGCGTGTATGCGTGTATGCGTGTATGCGTGTATGCGTGTATGCGTGTATGCGTGTATGCGTGTATGCGTGTATGCGTGTATGCGTGTATGCGTGTATGCGTGTATGCGTGTATGCGTGTATGCGTGTATGCGTGTATGCGTGTATGCGTGTATGCGTGTATGCGTGTATGCGTGTATGCGTGTATGCGTGTATGCGTGTATGCGTGTATGCGTGTATGCGTGTATGCGTGTATGCGTGTATGCGTGTATGCGTGTATGCGTGTATGCGTGTATGCGTGTATGCGTGTATGCGTGTATGCGTGTATGCGTGTATGCACGTATGCGTGTATGCACGTATGCACGTATGCACGTATGCATGTATGCATGTATGCATGTATGCATGTATGCATGTATGCATGTATGCATGTATGCATGTATGCATGTATGTATGTATGTATGTATGTATGTATGTATGTATGTATGTATGTATGTATGTATGTATGTATGTATGTATGTATGTATGTATGTATGTATATATGCATGTATATATGTATGTATGTATGAATGTATGTATAAGCTTGTGACAAAGAATATGTAGAAAGACGTGATAAAACATGTCGCGACACGTTTGAAATTCTTGGAAAGGCTAGAAAGGGCCTGTCTCTCTTCTTCGATTATTACCATGTACGTAACAATTTACGCGGATGCAATCAGTCTTGCGATACCCGCTTGTACGAATGGTTAAAGAAAATGTACTTCGCCAAAGAGAGCAGCGCATCGTACGACGTGAAGAAGGAATATAACATGTAAATTTCAACATTCTATACACAAAAGAAATGTTTTTTAACATTATGTATGTATGCAGTCCGCAGCATCGTGCGATGCGTTTACTGAGCAGACGTTACGATCTGACGAATACGGGCTATAAATTTTTGGAAATTGGAATCAACGTTGGCCCACCGAGTTACGTGGAGATCGTTCTGGGAGATCATCGCGGACACGAACTGTCGCTGTCTCTCGAAACCTGGAAGAGTCTCTACGACCAACGATGGAATATTTACAAAATGCTTCGAAACGAATACAAGGACAATTTTATAAGTGTTGGACCGCTAATCGTCAGAGTTTGTACGCTGAACGATGCTACGCTCGTACGTCTCGATTCTTCGTCCGTACGCATTACGATGACCGAAACGACGCTACGCCGTATGTTTGACTTTGACGGGTGTATCGATGTAACGTTCGAACGATTAGCCCGACTCGTCGATACGGTTGATGTAAAGTATACGCGATTCTCCAATACGTCTGAGAACGCCATACGCGACAGCGACTTCTTCAATGGACGTCAACTCATCGATTGCGAGCTATTAGCTTCAGTTTTTAATACGTACGAAAAAAACACGATGTAATAAGATGTGAATAAAAAATTTTCGTCCACATCATTTTATATATGTACTTTATTTTTTAGTCTCCATCCATCCATCCTATACCTCAACGCGCTAATAAAAACCGTATTGAAAAAAACTGTGTCATCAAAAAAGAGGATTCATTTCTTCTATCCTTCTTCACTCATATCACGTTATGCGCTCCAACATCGTCGTGCACGCTCTATCGCCTACAAAGCATATTACGTTATAATATCAGTCACGTTATTAATCTGGCACATGTCAGATAATAATTGTGTCTGTAAAGCGTCGTGCACGCTCTATCTTTCTCTAACGTGCGAACCCTTGTTATCTACACATTTTTGGGGTGGACGCGGGGCCCGCAGCAGCGGCGGCGGCGGCGGTAGCGGTGGCGACGGCGGCGGATGAAAAAAAATAAGAAACGCATTGTTTATGTGGGTCCTATTACAACGATGCCGCTAGGATTTCCCGCGCCTTCCTCCTCTACCGCGCCTTCCTCCGCGCCAGCGAGTACTCCCCACGCTCCGCACCGCCCGCGCCCCGCGCTCCCCTCAGAGGACCCTGGTTACTATACTACTCGTGCTGATCTAAAATAACATTGAAAATAGAGAAAGACACTACTATGACTGTGTATATACAATGTCAGTACTAAAAATCCATAATTTACGTTACGTTTATTACAAATTTTCAATACTGGTAGACTTATCTCTTTAGCAGAAAGAGATGAAGTAATTACATATATGTATATGTGCAATATATATATTCATGTGACATATTTTGACACATTAAGTAACCTAAAATGGCATTGAACCATAATAAAAAGTGCTATTACAATATGTATATTGTCAGTAAAATTGGTATTTCACGTCACATATATTACAAATTTTTAGTATTGACAGTGACTTAGAACGCAATCATATTTCAGACTGCGTTCTGTCTAAATGCTCACACAACATGTGAGCAAACCGGGCGACTGGAAACGGCGCGCGGCTGGAACCTGAAACCGTGAGTGCTTATAGCACTAGCAGCGCATGAAAGCCTGAGCCTCCAGAGAGTGTAAGCGGACGATATAAAATCTATTTTATCGACCTCGATCAAATTCAATCGTCATTCCCTTAACTTAATTAATACTGTAGCATTTAAGTTATAATTTTTCATAGTACATTAGTTTTTTTCGAGGAGTAATTTTTAACAGAGAAATAAAGTTACTTGAATTGGAATAAGAAAATCTTCAATCAGAATATCCTTAAAGAATAATTAAAAATTACTAGTATTTTGTTTGGACTCTTATGCTTATTCAAGAAGCACATATATTTTTAGCGCCTTCTTTTGCTTCTATTTTAAAAAAAATAAGTTTATACTGATATCATGTATTTTGTAGTAATGAACGTCTTTCTATAAATAATTTATCTTATTGTACAATTGACCTCACGAAATAGATTTTCACGTGTTTGAGCGTTTGGAGGGGGTCCTAAATTTATGTTACACTAAACATGTAAACGTATCATAATATTCGCAAATTAGATTTCTAATATCAAATTCTTATGCATTTAATGCAAATTTAAAATGTAAATTTAGAAAATAAAACTGACGAAAGTATCATTATATCTATACACATTTAATGTAACGTAAATCTAGTATTTTTTTCTTTTTACGCAACCAACACTCGCCTTAACTTTTACACTTTCTCTTTCAAATTATACAAAATTATTATATTTAATTTGAACGAGACAACGAATAAGTGGCTTCCTTATATACATGATGAGAATTTTGAGATTTAGTCATTTCATCAGTAATCGGATAGTTATTAAGTAATAAGGTTGCTATGTTGGAGAGTAACAATGAACATTTGCCAAATACCAGTATATGACTTTGTCGTTGATTGATTTCCGGATTTCCGGATTTGAACGATCAGTATTTTCTGTCTTTTGAGGAAATATTTAAAATTTCTATCATGTCAGTCGCAATAGACTTAGTTATTTTTGCAATACATTATTTTTAAACATATGATTGAAACATGACCGAATATATAAATACTACACTCATTGAACACAGCGCCTTTGCGGTCACAGTATTAAGATGTTGAACTACTGTCTTAATATACATTCAATAAAATTGAATTAATATTTCAGACATAAATTGAGAGCCGATGAAATTATCGGGTTCACCCAATCAATCTGAAACAAATAAATCCCCCCAAATTCTGCCAAATCTTAAAAAACTGTAATAATTTATTGCGAAAAAATATTGCCTCGGCCGGGAGTCGAACCCGGATCTCTTGCATTCCGTGCGAGCGTCCTGAGCCTTTAGACTACCGAGACCTTAGCAACACTCTTCGCAATAATCGACATATATAGTGAGTTACGCATATTTCGGCTGCGTATTATAAACATATGATTGAAACATGACCGAATATATAAATACTACACTCATTGAAGTCTAAAGGCTCAGGACGCTCGCACGGAATGCAAGAGATCCGGGTTCGACTCCCGGCCGAGGCAATATTTTTTCGCAATAAATTATTACAGTTTTTTAAGATTTGGCAGAATTTGGGGGGATTTATTTGTTTCAGATTGATTGGGTGAACCCGATAATTTCATCGGCTCTCAATTTATGTCTGAAATATTAATTCAATTTTATTGAATGTATATTAAGACAGTAGTTCAACATCTTAATACTGTGACCGCAAAGGCGCTGTGTTCAATGAGTGTAGTATTTATATATTCGGTCATGTTTCAATCATATGTTTATAATACGCAGCCGAAATATGCGTAACTCACTATATATGTCGATTATTGCGAGGAGTGTTGCTAAGGTCTCGGTAGTCTAAAGGCTCAGGACGCTCGCACGGAATGCAAGAGATCCGGGTTCGACTCCCGGCCGAGGCAATATTTTTTCGCAATAAATTATTACAGTTTTTTAAGATTTGGCAGAATTTGGGGGGATTTATTTGTTTCAGATTGATTGTGTGAATCCGATAATTTCATCGGCTCTCAATTTATGTCTGAAATATTAATTCAATTTTATTGAATGTATATTAAGACAGTAGTTCAACATCTTAATACTGTGACCGCGAAGGCGCTGTGTTCAA